TGAAGAAGAAACACCCAGTGCATCATGGGAATCCCCCAGCAGCCTACGTCTATTGCAGCATAACTAAGGGAGGATTCAGGGTCACCTGGTCCAGCCCTAACTATATGCTTTAGCAAAAAGGAAAGTTTGATTACTTAACAGAAACTTAAAGAACAGTTTTGGTGTTTATCAATATTGTTCATTTAGAGCAGCTGTGGCATAAACCTTACACACTGTGGTGTTTTTCACACACAAATGTGTCAATGTCAGGGTCACAGGTTTGTTGACGGCATCAACACAAGTTTTATGTTTGAAATTTAAATACAGCGATAGTGTAAAAAAAACTGACACAATAAGTGTAGTCCTTACATCGACACATTATCGTTTTTAAAAAATCTGTCAACTCACGCTTAAAAACAGAAATGTAAAAGAAACTGACACGCAGCTTTACAAAGGTCAATATTTACATATTTGTAACATTTGTAATCAGGAGCATGTTACGTGAAAATTGTAAATGCATATATGCAAGAAATTTTATTACAATAAATTCCTTCCAGTTGTTTTTAACATCTACGCCAAAAAAAATCACGTTCCCAGTTGGTCTTTATTTTAAATGTAGGCATAACATTATTAGTATAAAATAATTATAGGATTTTTGATATACATTGTCCTACTATAATACAATTTTTCTTTTTCTTTTTATAAAATTAAGTTATCAAAAAACATTTTGGACATTGTTAGCATCATATAACTGCATATGTGGGATTTAAGTTCACTCTGTCTTCCTAAAATTATGACAACAGGCATAATGGCTGGTAATATGCAAGGTCAATATTTATGCTAAAAACATGTTTTTCTCAAACAGAAACTCTGACCATCCTTTGCCTTGGATAATATCCTTAGTCCAATCCAGGGCCGTGCAGAGATGTTTAGAGGGGCAGGTGCTCAAAGTTAAAAAGGGGCACCTAGAACCAGGCTGAAGAGCAACAACACGTTCATGAAGAATCTAATATGGAAACGCATCAAACTATATCACTGTCATCAGGTGGGGACAATGCAAAGCAAATGTATGTTTTTGTCATGGTCCCCGTGTCTGCCCGGCTGACCCAGGTTGGCTACATGTGGCAGCATGAATGTTATCCCTCGGTCCAACCCTCTTTCAGCCGGGCCCATTAGGGGGCGCTGGTATAAATAGTGGCCATTTGAGTGTCTCTGCATCGCTTGCCTGTGATCTCCTTTTTGGTCACCT